TCAGCATTGTGTATTGATACTATTGTATGCACAGGTCTGTACTGTGTGTTGATACTATTGCATGTAAAGATCAGTATTGGGTATTGATGCTATTGTATGTAATATGTAAAGCTCTGTACAGTATTTTGATATTATTGTATGTAAAGGTCCATATTGTGTATTGATATTGTATGTAAAGGTCTGTACTTTGTATTGATACTGTTGTATGTAAAGCTCTGTACTTTGTATTGATACTGTTGTATGTAAAGGTCTGTACTTTGTATTGATACTATTGTATGTAAAGGTCTGTACTTTGTATTGATACTATTGTATGTAAAGGTCTGTACTTTGTATTGATACTATTGTATGTAAAGCTCTGTACTGTGTATTGATACTATTGTATGTAAAGCTCTGTACTGTGTATTGATACTGTTGTATGTAAAGGTCTGTACCGTGTATTGATGCTATTATATGTAACAGTCCTTACTGTGTATTGATACTATTGTATGTAACAGTCCATACTGTCTATTGATACTTCTGAGTAATGGTCTGCACATTGTATTGTTACTATTCCATGTAAATGTTTGTACTACATAATGATGAGTCCCAACTGGAAATTAGCATTAGATTGCACACTAGCTTGTACTGTTGGGGAGTCCACATATAGTCACACCATTGACAGGGTCATTAGTGATTGGGGGCCACATGAATTACCTTTCCACATTAATTCATTTTCTTTTGTGTTTTGGCTTAACTTAAATTGTAATTTTCCACATTTGATTCATTTCACTTTCGACTTCGGGTAGCTCATTGTTTCATCTGTGTTTGATTATAATTGGTTTATTTGCCTCTTGTTTTCTGATAGAAAGCCATGTCAATAAATATATACTTATGAAGGACTGCTTACATAACAGCAAACTAACATATAATTGCCATTATTTCTTGTCCAAATTTGTATAGGTTGTAAAAAGTAACTTTTGAAAATAATTGAGGCTGTCACAAGACATATAGTGTCCTTGTGTGTATATGTGTACCACAGTTGAATGTAATATAGCATGGTGGCCATTTTTACTTTCAAATGAACTGATGTAGTTTTATAAAATACCAAATATGATGTAAAAAGTTAGTAATCATAATGGCAAATTTGAGCTTGGCTTCTAACATAAAACTTGATTGCTAATGGTCTTGCCATCAAAAACAAAAAAAAATTAAATATTAATTGAGCACCTATGCCACTGTCTGCAAATTTTGTAAATGCATAATTAAAGAAGCAGTTTGTGGAGTGTGACTTGAATAAATTGTTTTACATCCCAACCATTATCTCCATTAGATCCACATATTAAGCCATTTAACTAGGTATAATGAAGAATAGATAGAAGAAAAATCTTTAAATGTTCAATCAGTAAGCAGTCTTTTGCTTTTTACTGTTTTCCCTTTTGCAGTCCCCAATGTTGATTCCTTAAAGGGCAGAAATGGTTCATTAACTCAGAAAGTTATGGCATGGATTGGTGATATCTATACTGCATGCCTCTGCAAGGACTCAGTTTTAGTGGCAAATCAAGGTAATTATTGATGCATAAATTTTATTCTGCTGGCAGTTGCTCAAAGGGCTATCAAATCCTGTGAATTTAATTGAATAAAATATGGCTTTTAGTAAAAAAAATATTACAAAAACAACATTAATTTCAGGGTTTTTACAAGTTCTTTTGCCACTTCCACCTTTACTTGAAAATAATTTATTTTCTTTTTTGCTTTGTTTTAAAATTATTGGCCCTGTTGTAATAGGCAGGTAGTGGAGTTAGATATATATCTGGTTTTATAGTGCATCAGCACAATAAAGGTTATATAGTGATCATTAATAGACAAATTTGAAATTGTTAAATGGTTCAAAGTTCAAATGTAAATATTACAGATTGCAAAATAACTTTAATTAGAAAAGGGGCAAGATTGTTTTAGTCTATGGTATTTTCTGCATCATAATATATATATATATATATATATATATATATATATATATATATATATATATATATATATATATATATATATATAATTTGAACAAAAAAATACAAATACACACACACAAACACACAGAGACACAACAGCCTTTTACCTTGCTTTTTCTGTTTTCCTATTAGCAGCCTATACTGCATCGGTTCCTGCTGCATCCTTCAATGTTGATTCCTCACAGGAGACCAAGGGCCCATCAGGCCAGATAGTAATGGTATGGAACCAAATTTTATTTCATTAACAAACTTTTTTTTTTAACAAGAAGAACATTGTCAGCATGTTTATTATGGTTTATTGGCATGTTTATTATGGTTTATTGGCATGTTTATTATGGTTTATTGGCATGTTTATTATGTCTTCTGTTGATGTGCAATTTTTTATAATAAAATTTTTTGTTCAAAATCAATGAACTTAAGCAGATGTAAAAATATATGTTAAATTTCAAAGCTAATTAAAAATGTTTTTATACACCACTAAAAATGACAAGTGATAGGTAGAAATTATTGGATATATTTTTTTTAGAGCTGAATACTGAAAATGCATTGTTAAACCAATCTTTGAAATTGTCTGATGAAACACTACAAACTGCTCATTGAAATCTGTTATCTTGAATACTTGCAGGGTTTGCATAATGTGGGGAACACATGTTTCTTCAATGCAGCTATGCAGGTAATTAATATATACAAGAACAGAAAGAAACAATAAACTAAATATATTTTCCTTTAATACTGTTGATTGATATATTTTTGAGTAAAACATAATTTGTCTTGACCCATTAGATCATTATCTCTTCTCCTTTTTTCTCTTACCCACTTCACTGTTATAAATTCTATCTATACTAATCTATTTTGAAGTCTGTCTTCATTCAAAAGAAATTATTGTTCTAAGTTTATGCTATAAATAGTGTTATATATAATCTTTATAAATTTGGTTTGATCTCTAAAATAGACTTAGACTTAGACTCTTAGACTCTATGTTTATGCTATGATGTTGTCTGTATTGATTATGTACTACCATCTTTGAGGTATAATGTCATCAAAATTCATTAATAAAATTTCCTCTGAAATAATTTGTTAGCATTCAGTAGTAAATTAAACTGCTCTGATATGTAAATGACTGTTCTTAAGAGATGATTGTTACTTTTTGTTCATATTGGCTCACTTTAATCTATTTTAAAGAGAGAATCATGAAATCCATTAAATTATTTGTTGATGAATACATAATGCTGACATTTTATTTTCAGAATTTGATTCAGACATACAGTCTGGAGAACCTCTTGATGGAAAGGATAGAAGGGGGACCACTCTTCCTGCCTGGCAGTGACAACTCCAGTACCTGCAATAGAGATGAGGATGATTATATCATTAATTTGGTATGGTTCTTAATGGTTGTCTTTTAAATGCATGAATCATTCTTCATGTCCTTATTTTGTATTCCATGAAGATTTTCTACTAAGTTGACAGTTTGTATTTTCTCACATGTTAAGGTATGATAAGAAAATGGGTGTCACACTGTGATGGTATCATCATCAGTTTAATTTTTATGATTCAGATTTAATTATAAGAAGGATGAAGTCAAGACACTGGATTCCTTTAAACACTTATTACTATTTGAATGACTTGTATAATCAGCTTGACTTCATGGAAATATTTATGACATGGGATGCTACTTGTCATGCTAATTATTCCATTATCGGTACAAGTGGATATTATTATTATTATTATTATTATTATTATTATTATTATTATTTTTATTATTTTCCTTAAAGTCTATTATTCTTGCATATTCCATTATTTAATGATGTTTTGCTTCAGGTCTGCTGAAAATCATGACTTTGACTTTATACATGTGTTTTTTTGTAGAAATTAGGTATTGAAGTTTGTGTAATGTATGACTTACTCAGTATGTCTTTTTTGTTGTTGCAGCCTAGCATTAGGATCAGCCTTAGTAAAGCCAGACCCGTTACCATGGCACTAGCAAATTTCCTTCAGGAGATCAAGTCTGCACCTCAAACCAATGTTGTCAACCCTAGTGACCTCTTTGACCAAGTCTGCAGAGAGTAATCCAAATTTAACATTAGTATTCCCTAGCAATAAGGAACCCAATCATATCTATAAAAGTCTCTAAAAAGTGCTTATGTGATGTGCAAGTCTGTAATTATGAGATCTGTAATTATAAGATCTTCATTGTCTGTGTGTGACAGTCCACAAAATTATGAAAGCATTACTTTTTATTTTTTTAAATGCATAGAATGAGAAATTAGGTGAACAAATCATGTGACATCAATATATACAAATGCTCCACATACAACACTGACTTCATCACAAAGAAACTTCTGAGGAAAGAGATACTTTATACCTTTACTATAAGTCCATTATCTTTACTACAAGTCCATTATCTTTACTACAAGTCCATTATCTTTCCCACAAGTCCATTATCTTTACTACAAGTCCATTATCTTTTCTAAAAGTCCATTACCTTTACTACAAGTCCATTATCTTTACTAAAAGTCCATTATCTTTACTGTAAGTCCATTATCTTTACTACAGGTCCATTATCTTTACTAAAAGTCCATAATCTTAACTGCAAGTCCACAACCTTTACTACAAGTCCATTATCTTTACTAAAAGTCCATTATCTTTACTGCAGGTCCATTACCTTTACTACAAGTCCATTATCTTTACTGCAAGTCCATTATCTTTACTATAAGTCCATTCCATTATCTTTGCTGCAAGTCCATTACCTTTACTATAAGTCCATTATCTTTACTAAAAGTCCATTATCTTTACTGTAAGTCCATTATCTTTACTACAAGTCCATTACCTTTACTATAAGTCCATTACAGATTGTCACATCAATAAATACAAATGCTTGATATAAAATCCCTGAAACTTCTGTGGAAAGAGATACTTTTATATGTGTACTATAAGTCCATTATCTTTACTTCAAGTCCATTAACTTTAATACAGGTCCATAACCTTTACTATAAGTCCATTACCTTTACTACACACTGCTCTGATGGCCTAGTGGTTAGAATGTCTGCCTGGGATGCCGGAGGTCATGTGTTCGATCCCCAGTTGAGTCATACCAAAGACTTACAAAAATGGTACTAACTGCTGCCTCTCTTGATGCTCAGCATTAAGAGGTTAGTGTTAGGACTGGTCGGCCTGGTGTCAGGATAATGTGACTGGCTGGGACATCATGCCACATGTCTGCGGCATGATGCTCAGTGCATGACATCACTATAAACTGCCGCACTCCAGACATTGTAGGAATATGACTGAAAAATTGTTACAAGATACATTTAAAATTATAAACACCACACCTCTACTACAAGTCCATTACCTTTACAAGTATGTTGTTGTTGTTGTTGTTGTTGATGGGCTTAACGCCATTTTTTCAGCACACGATAGGCTATTCATGGCGGCCAGTATTAATGGTGGAGGAAGAAACCGGGAAATCACCGGAAAGAACCACCGACCCACGAGAAGCTACTGGCAAGCTTTCTCACATATCCACATTCGCCGAATCCTAGACTCTAACCCACGCAGACAGAGGTGAGATGGGAGTGATCCATAACGGACAGTGCTTTAGACCACTCAGCCACTCGAGGCCCCCTACAAGTATGTTACCTTTACTACTAGTCCATCACCTTTACTACAAGTCCATTACCTTTACTACAAAACCATTACCTTTACTACAAGTCCATCACCTTTACTAGAGGTTCATAACCTTTATCATAAGTCCATTACCTTTACTACAAGTCAATTATCTTTACTACAAAACTGTTACCTTTACTATAAGTCCATCACCTTTACTAGAGGTTCATAACCTTTACTACAAGTTGATTACCTTTACTACAAGTCCATTATCTTTACTACAAAACCGTTACCTTTACTACAAGTCCATCACCTTTACTAGAGGTTCATAACCTTTACTACAAGTTGATTACCTTTACTACAAGTCCATTATCTTTACTACAAAACCGTTACCTTTACTACAAGTCCATCACCTTTACTTAAAGTCCATTTTCTTTACTATAAGTCCATTACCTTTACTACAAGTCAATTACAATTATGCATGATATTCCACAATATTTAAATACTCTGTATGTAATGTTCACAGATAAAGAGCCTGGCTTGAAGACATGGAGTATTGTCTATGTTTTCCAATGTCTTCTTGTAAATAATGTGTCTTGTATTTCTTGTCTCTTGTTTCAAAGTGACCTGATGGACACAACTTTTTCTTAAGTAATATACTTGTAAAGTACCAAAATACCCAATTGGGTTCAGTTAATTTGAAATTCATTATTATACCCAAGATCATGAATAAAACCATTCATGTGGCAGTATCGTCAATTTTAATAATGAACTAACTAATCTGTTTTCATGTAAGATTAAAAATTTTGCTTTTTTGCTGGAGGGAAATCATGAGTTAGTCACTTTTAAGTGCCTTCCTTTTTCTTCAGGGCTCCAATGTTCAGAGGCAACCAGCAACATGATAGCCATGAGCTTCTAAGTCACATGCTGGACATCATGCGATCTGAAGAAATCAAGGTAAATACACATTACTTTGATAATTGGTTTTAGATATTCCTGATGATAAAGCATACACAAGACAGGTATACTTTTCCAAAAGCAATAATGTTTTTTGAATAGGCAAGACATTGCTTTATTTTTCCCACAGCAATAGTGGGTTTTTGATTAGGCAAGACATGGGTATACTTTGCCAACCCACATAAAGATTTTGCAATTGGCTCTGCATCTGACAAGATTTGCATGTATAGTCATGACATTAGATGGTTGCATTCATCATGGAGGGTGATGTTCATTAAAGGCATGTACAGTCATGACATTTGATGGTTGTATTCATCATGGAGGGTAATCGTCATTAAAGGCATGTACAATCATGACAGTTGATGGTTGTATTCATCATGGAGGGTGATGTTCACTAAAGGCATGTACAGTCATGACATTTGATGGTTGTGTTTATCATGGAGGGTAATCTTCATTAAAGGCATGTACTGTCATGACAGTTGATAGTTTTATTCATCATGGAGAGTAATGTTCATTAAAGACATGTACAGTCATGACAGTTGATGGTTGTATTCATCATGGAGGGTAATGTTCATTAAAGGCATGTACAGTCATGACATTTGATGGTTGTATTCATCATGGAGGGTAATCTTCATTAAAGGCACGTACTGTCATGACAGTTGATAGTTGTATTCATCATGGAGAGTAATGTTCATTAAAGGCATGTACAGTCATGACATTTGATGGTTGTATTCATCATGGAGGGTAATCTTCATTAAATGTATGTACAATCATGACAGTTGATGGTTGTATTCATCATGGAGGGTGGTGTTCATTAAAGGCATGTACAGTCATGACAGTTGATGGTTGTATTTATCATGGAGGGTAATCTTCATTGAAGGCAAGTACAGTCATGACATTTGATGGTTGTATTGATCATGGAGAGCAATGTTCATTAAAGGCATGTACAGTCATGACATTTGATGGTTGTATTCATCATGGAGGGTGGTGTTCATTAAAGGCATGTACAGTCATGACAGTTAATGGTTGTATTCATCATGGAGGGTGATGTTCATTAAAGGCATGTACAGTCATGACATTTGATGGTTGTATTAATCATGGAGGGTAATCTTCATTAAAGGCATGTACAGTCTGACATTTGATGGTTGTATTCATCATGGAGGGTGATGTTCATTTAAGGCATGTACAGTCATGGCATTTGATGGTTGTATTCATCATGGATGGTAATCTTCTTTAAAGGTATGTACAGTCATGAGAGTTGATAGTTGTATTTATCATGGAGGGTAATCTTTATTAAAGGCATGTACAGTCCTGACATTTGATGGTTGTATTCATCACGGAAGGTATTGTTTATTAGAGGCATGTACATTCATGACATTTGATGGTTGTATTTATCATGGAGAGTATTGTTGATTAAAGACATGTACAGTCATGATATTTGATGGTTGTATTCATCATGGAGGACAATGTTCATTAAAGACATAAGGTCATTGTAACCTACTTTTTGTGTTGCAGTGACTTTGATGGTTGTTTACAGTATTTGTCAGTGTAAGAGACAAAACATTGAAGAAATCTTGGAAAGATGATTAGGAATGATTCCTTTGACATCTTTGGCAGCATTGTTGATTGCATCAAATAAAGCTAGGATTAAGATGAGCAAGTGTATTACTCATTGTGCTATATGGATAGGATTAGGTTGAGCAGGTGCACTACTTCTTGTGGAATACAGTTAAGGTTAAGTTGAGCAAGTGCATTATATATTGTGCCATACAGTTAGAATTAGGTTGAGCAAATGCAGTACTTATTGTGCAATACATCTTGGATTAGGTTGAATGCATGAATGCAGTTACTGATTAGTACTGGATTAGGCTGAGTGCAGTACCTATTGCCAAACAGATGATATTAGGTTGAACAACATATATGATTAGGTGCCATACAGCTGGGATTAGGTTGAGCAAATACAGTACTTATTGTGCCTTACAGCTGAATTCATGCACACTGTAATATTGTCAGCTTACCAATTTTACCTTGCTATAAACTGAAAAATTGTTAGTTTGCCCACTTTCTCTCAGTCAATGCATAATGAAATGTTGTCACAGTTTGCCTGTTTTTTCTGTTGTTGAAATGCTGGTGTGTTATATGATTTGCACTTAGGGTAGTAAAATAAATCATATATATTATTGTTTAAAGATCAAAGGTCATGATTATGATTTGTCTGGTATGAAATTAATGGCTTCTGCTCAATAAGTTTAATTCAAGACAGCATACATTGACTAAAGGCTGAGTTAATTACAACTCTTTGTTCAATAAACTAGGGAGTCAACCATGCCTTAAGAATGCCTACACAGAGGACTATTAGACATGGGGGGGGAGATGTATAACGTGGTCTAAAGCACTGTGCTGTCATGGAGAAGATGCATAATGTTACAGAGCATCTCAACATTCACTGAGACAACCTTTTTTCATCCATTAGGTTCGTTTAACCTATTATGCCAAAATCTACCCTTTGCAGCTTTTCGGTTATGGATATGAAACAATTGCTTCATACAGATTTGAGCTTGAAAAGATTCCATTGTAATAAAAATGACAAACTTTATGGATGTATTAAAATTACTAAGAAAATATTGATACACTAGCCTTTCTTGTAGATTTTGGGCAAAGGGAAACAACTCATGATTTTAACCAGTGATAGTTACCTCCCTTGTGGATTATTACACTGACATAATGATAGTAGAAAATAGTAATGAAGGAAAGTAAAATTAATTTAGCAAAAGAGTGCTGTATATATTAATACAAATTTTCAAGTGACAAAGAAATTTTTTTTAAAAATATTTATTCATGTATTAGGTTTTTGATAGTGAAAAAGACATTCAATAACAATTTCTCTGGAGTTATGTTCTTCCTTGTCATCTCATGTAAATTAGTATCTCTTGATGAAAAGTTAAATGAATGATACTGCTTATTCCAATCAAATTTGATTTTGAAATGCAAATTACCTCTTCCAGAGAGGCCAGGTTGCAGTGTTGAAATATTTTGAGCTGACAGTAAACTCCGATCCCCAAACAATTGATCATGATGTCAGGATGAAAGTCAGGCGTAAGTATCTCTCTCTCTCTCTCTCTCTCTCTCTCTCTCTCTCTCTCTCTCTCTCTCTCTCTCTCTCTCTCTCTCTCTCTCTCTCTCTCTCTCTCTCTCTCTCGTCTCTCTCTCTCTCTCTACATACATACATACATACATGCATGCATGCATGCATGCATGCATGCATGCATGCATGCATACATGCATGCATACATGCATGCATACATACATACATACATACATACATACATACATACATACATACATACATACATACATACATACATACTTCTGGGCATAAGTGTTAGTGGGATGTTCTGGACATAAGGATTTTTGCTATGCTTACTTGAGTGACTTACTTTCAGGCATGAGTGTCAGTGGGATTCTGGACAATATGGGTTTGGTTTATGTTCACATGAGAGAATTACTTCCAGGTGTGAATGTCAGCAGG